TTTCAAAGTACATTTTGTACTTGTGTGTGTATATATGTGTCTGTATTTGTGTGTGTGTGTGTGTGTGTGTGTGTTTGTGTGTGTGTGTGTGTGTGTGTGTGAGAGAGAGAGAGAGAGAGAGAAAGAGAGATAGAGGGAGAGAGAGAGAGAGAAAGAGAGAGAGAGAATGTGTCTTTGTACCAGTTGTACATCCATGCCAAATGCAACTACATACATTATCCCCCCAGAGATCCGTATCTGCCCTTCTTCTCATTAATTCATTCATTCATTCCATAACTCATTCATTCATTTCGTAACTTATTAATCCATTCATTCATTCATTCATTCCTTCATTCATTCTTTCATTTATTCATTCATTCATTCATTCATTCATTCATTCGTTCACCCATCCCTACTACTCTACAAGACGTATATGTATTGTGCGTCCACAGAGACCAATGAAGTCCAGAGACGTGCCCCGAGCGCCCTTCCCGGTGGCTCTAACTTCTTCACTAAGACCACGCCCAGAGAGGTGGAGGCACCAGTGGCTCAGGCTAAGCTACAGGAGTCCTCGGACTCAGAAGCTGATAGCGATGTTGGCACAGGCCGCGCAGGGAAACATGCGGTCATCCTGGATGCAAGCCGCAATCAGACAACGGATACCAAGCAGTCCCAGGTGAGAATTTGCAACCTGGTCTGATTCTGAAATGTTTCAAAATATTTTTATTTCACGAAGTCCTGGCCTGCGATTAATTGTCATATATATGTACAATTGTACGAGTATATATGTTCTTTTTTTTTTTTTACATCCATCCATTTTTCTCCAACTCTGGCTTAATTAATTGTTAAGGTTTTTGCTTTGCACACAAAAGAAGTCTTTTAAATTCTCCAAGTTTGTTTTTTGTAATCGAGTGTCCCTATCTTTCTGCTGAGATGCCCTGTCTAACTCAGCCTTTTTTCCACTGTTCAAGAGCCCCAAACCTCCGATGTTGATGTTCATTCTTCCAAACAGATTTCTTTTCAAAAACTGAATTCATGTATAACACGCTTTTTTATGGAAAGTACATAAAAGGTGTTATGTTCTTCACATGAATTTGTGTTTTTAGGCTACTTCAAGTGGGTCGCTTTTGTTTCCTATCGGTTGCTTACTTCTTCATGCCCCCATGAGGCATTTTATGGTATTAATAAGTGGTCCAAGATAACGTGATATCATTTCACATTTATCACACTGTTGTACACACTGTTGTATCAACAGTAGCCACACTGTCAGTTGTACATGTATAAGCATTTTCTGGCAATGTAACTATTATCACACTCTTGTATACACTGTTGTCTGAACAGTAGCCACACTGTCAGTTGTACATGTATAAGCATTTTCTGGCAATGTAACTATTATCACACTCTTGTATACACTGTTGTCTTAACAGTAGCCACACTGTCAGTTGTACATGTATAAGCATTTTCTGGCAATGTAACTATTATCACGCTGGCCCACATGTTGACCTGACCTGACCTGACCATCAGTAACTTATTTATAGAGGCAACAGCCATCTATGTCTAGGTGCTGATTTAACCTCTTTCTCCCACATCTTTAACTAAGACAGAATTACTAGCATCTGCTGTTTAATTGATAAGCATTGCCTGACTGCAGTAAAATAAGACTCAACAAAAACAGCACTCTGCCCCTCCCCCCCTAACCAGGGCTGTGCTACAGACTGAAGTTGTTTTTAGGCCATTCCCAAAGGGGGGATATTAACATGTTCTTATGTACAGTAGAATTGTAAATGGGTTGATTTATCAGTGCCATGCTCATACTGTGCTGGAACAACATAGGGGGAATTGCTGCTTTTTCTTTCCCCATCCTTACTATCGTAATTTTTCCTCTACTTATTTTGTATGTTTGTCACTCTCTTGTGAACTGCTATTTCCAGGGTGCCTTGATAGTCGAAGCAGATTTTGTGTAGAGAGGTGAGCAGACTAAGCCTGATTCCTCATTTGGACTTTTCTGTTGGCGTCCACCCCTTAGCGCTCATATGACCTTATGCTGTTGCAAGTGCTGTAAAACCTTTCTAAAACTAAACTAAAACACTCTGTGTGTCCTCCAGGTTTCCTACGAGAGGCAAGACTTTGAGGAAGAGAAAGCGGAGCGTGTGGCCCTCCTGGGCTCTGCCAGAGATACTGACGACACTGGTGGTCACAGCCAGCCTCTCCAAGGCAGCGGCATGGCCATCATCGAAGTGCAGAAGACTGTTGCTCTGGACAAGACAGGACGTGAGATGAAAGCCACTGGGGATATTGCGGAGAAGACCAAGCTGGCTGTGTCTACAGAGAAAACCACAATGATGCGTGTGGGAGAAGGAGAGGTGCGTCAGTGTGTGTTAGTGGATTTTGTGTATGCATGAATCGTTAACTTGAGTTTGCAGTTTCCTCAAGTTAAATCTTTGTCTCCAAAAGGGGTAAACCCAATGTGCCAGGGCCTTTTTTTGGTACTAAATCTAAAAATGACGAAAACGTCACTAAATTAGTCATTAAATCAAAATAAGTGAACCTGTTTTGATAGTTCTGCGTCTGACTTATGAAATCCTGATAAAAGAGACCTGTTTTCAGCGATTTCCAAAAGTAATTTGATGTCAAAGTCGTCATAAAGAAATGTGACAGCGGCTCACCGGCACAGTGGTTCTGACCGCGAGCCGCTGTGAGCGGCTTGCCGGAGATAAAGATTAAGATATTCCTCACCAAATGTGTGATGCTGATCTTCTCAGATGAAAGTGTGATCAAATTCCTGTGATCAAAGCATAGCCCTGAGAGAAGTGGTCAACTATTTGCTTGAGCACCAATACATGTTACAACAAACTAGTTGCTCACAGACACACACATCCCACTGTATGTGTATTGCACATCAAAGGGGGAGTGGCGTGTGGGTGTGCATAGTGGCCCCCTCTTAATTATTATTCCTCGGAGCCAGACTTATCAAGAGATTTTATGTATTTTCAAGGTTATAGTAGTTGGGGTTTTCTATTGCTGTGATCAGGGGAGTTAATGTATCAGCATGTGGTTATATGCATGTACATTGTGGGCTTCTTATACTTTTTATTTATATTGGCTTTTCACTTGTCGTAATTTTGCCACAACTGATACGCATATATGCACATCTTACGTGCATGTGAAGTCAAACATATTTTGGATGGGCTCTTTGTTGTGACATGCAGGAGTCCCGAGTTTGATTCATGTGTGAAGGACATTTTTATTGAATATATTAGTCTTTCTACCAGGACGTTGTATCCTTCTCAGCCTGTGTTGGCCCTGATATACAAAGTCCAAATCTGTCCCTTAAATAATATAACTTTTGTCAATGAAGGTTTAAAAACACCAACATTTTTAAAGCATTAGTGCACAGCACAACAAATTTCTAGTGAGAACATACCCTCCCGTGTCACCTTTCTATCTACTCCAGAATGCTGCAACTCTTCTGGCTTTTGCCATCCCCTCGAGTTTGGTGGGCTGTGGTTTGAGACCTTAACTGGGATTAAAATTTTTCTGCTGCTATTTTACCCCCTCATAGGATTGATTGGGCTGGGGGGGGGGGGTAATTTTTCCCTCACATTCAGGGGGTTTTTTTTCGTGATCTTGATAGGTGATTCCGGGAGACTCGGATGGCCTTCTGCCTGCACCCTCTATCATGGTCATGTCTCAAGGACGCCACAGTGTGCAGGTCAACTGGGAACTCACGGACAAGATTGGGCCTCAGTACAAACCGCTGATGTTTGTGGTCAATGCTGTTGGTACAAAGTTTGACAGCAGCATCAACAGTGACATCAGGTGAGTAGTAACTGATGCATTTCCATTTAAAGTCTTCAGGGAAGTTTTTATTTGTTTGAGTTTGAATTATACATTTGTTTTGGAACAGTTTAGGTTATTTCACATGTTTGTAAACGGCTCAAAATTTCCATCCTTTACAGTGAGCCAGTGATCTTGTGACAGGCACTTTCCTTTGTCATGAGTGTTGCCAATAAGATATCAAGAGCTGTCACCTTCCACTACTGTTTTTTCTATCCATTATGATTGGGAAATTTTGCCATATTTCAGTTTTGAATGCAACTTGGTTGAAAAAGGCAAACAAGTCCGTGGTGTTCAGCACTGCTGGAATGTCCAGAATGGACAGCAGTGTCTTATCAATGGACTCCACTCTGGCAACACGTACCGTATCTACGTCATTGCAAACTATTCCATGATCCAAGGGAAGAAACCCTGTGAGATTCAAACCACATCAGCTGTCCTCTACTACACCACCATGGGCCCACCCAAGTCTCCTGTCCTACGTGTCATGCGTGTTGATGCTTACCAGGTCAGTTGTGTCGTAGTTTTTCTGTTTGAGGTTACCCCCATTTTTTGTCTTTTGTTGTTGATACAGCAGTATAATGGGAGAGATACAGGCATTCCACGGCCAGTTGGGTTTTTTGTGTCAGTTCATGATCTCAGGATTTTCTTTGAATCAATATCAACATTTTGCTCTGTATTTTATTGTAATGTAAGTTCAAGTACACGTTGCCCAACTCTTGATGTTTAAGCTTTGGGGGTGGGGGGGGGTGGATGGAGGGGATTTGTAAAAGTTATACTTTTCTAGTGTTGTTGTTTTTTTTTGCATATATTTAAAGACATGTTCTTCATGATAAATTTCACTGAGGAGCCTTATTCTACCTCTCACAGGTGGGTAGTTGATGGGTGCTTTGGTGGGTTCATCTCCTTCTACTTTTATTCTATTTTCTGAAATATATTCCCAAACTATTCCTTGCCTGTTGTAAATGTAACTGTTTATGTAGAGACTTGCCTCAACTACATCTCAAAAACAACTGCTCCTTAATCATATTGAGATGATAAGAAATTTTCATAATTCTTGTTGCTTTTTATGGGTTTTTTAAAAAAGAGATGACAAAGGACGTTGTAATTTTGATTTTTAGCTGTCTTAAGTATTGGCTGAGCAGCAGAGGCTACTCTTTGGTTTCTTTGCAAGTGTTGTTTCTAATATCTGTTGCTTGTTCTATGTGCATAGTTCTGACTGCTGCAACCATGTTAGAAAATCAACAAAGAACTCTATGAGAGGACACTGGAAGCTTTTTTATTCTTCCTTCAAACCTGTTAGCTTCCTCATATCTGAAAAATACCTCTTCGTTATGAATTGCAATTAATCGTGGACAAAAGGACACCCCAAGATTTGACATCTGAGAGCTACTCCAGCTGGTGACCTATCCATCTCTGACTCTGTGAAGTGTTCCCTGTCTGTCCCCAGGCATGTTTGGAGTGGGAAGAGCCTGTGATGGAGAACGGCATGAAGCTGAAGGGTTACCAGATCTATGTGGATAGGAAGCCTCTGGGCGGCCGACGTAGCCCGGATATTCGGCAAATGGTCATCAACAACCTCGTGCCTGGTGAGTTGACCAAGCTGGAAATCCTTATTGTATCCCAATAGGGACTAGTTTTGTTTTTCAAAATATCCAGGAACATATGACTGAATAATCTAAACTGAAATGAATGACAGATTATTGCATGTCAACCTCAGAGACCCCAGAGGCAGATATGACACCTCCAGCCGACCAACCTATAAACAGCCTTACTTTATCCTTATCATTTCTAACTTTTCTCAAATCTTTTGACAACCTATAAATGCTGGTGGAAATGTTATCTCTATGAGAGTATGATTTTTGTTTGTCATAAAAGAATAAAGCTCCAAAATAGCTTTCCCAACCTATTCTATGAAAGAATAACTGTTACTTCACTTTGCAAAACTTTTTTCTTTCTAGGCAAGACGCTCAGTGTTTATGTGGTGGCAGTGTCTGAGTTTGCTGACCAGGAGAGCGAGCCATCCCAAACTTTACACATCAGTTGCCCGCTCCGACCGCCTGCACCATCCATATCGCAGCAACCCTCGTACAAGCGAGGCTGTGTCCTCATGGCATGGAACAAGCCAACAGGTCATACTTACTCATCCAATGATGAGGCAGTCACATTCTACAGGTACAGTACAACACTTGTGATTATTAGGAACCTTTAATTGTAAGCATTAAATTGTAATTGTTAAGAACTTCCACAACTACCTGTTTGATATAAAGGGCTTTGTGACAAAAGATGTTGTATACAGAAAGGAAAAATTTTGAAAATTGTTTGTTTGGTTTATGATGTGTATCCTGTTGACTGATTCAGCCTACAGATAATTTTGACTCTGGACACAAATAGTTTGGGACCGCTTCATGACCTCACATGTGGTCTCACAAAAAGTTGATAAAGAAATATTTGAATATGATGAAACCCTGTGTGTGACATGTAGGAATGTGCAGAATAAAAAATACTTTTCAATGACTCAAGAAAAAAATGGTTGAAATGAAAGTGGTAAGCACAAAAAGAAAAGAGAAAAGTGATGGGAAGAAAAGGAGCAATGTAAAGGAGCCGGTCTGAGTGGTTTTGCATCAGAACGTAGGAGACAGTCAGCCACTGTGAGCGGCGCTGCAGGCTGAATCAGTTAAAGGAAAAAAACTTAATTGTATCAGTATAAAATCACTGGTTCCCAGCACATTTTGTGAGAAAACATTTTGCAGCTCTAAGGGAAGATTCTTCTCACATTGCATAAAACCTGAAGGTTCGAATGGGAAGTAACCCATTTTATCAAAATGTTTTTGTATTCCTACTATAGATTTTGTTGTGATCTGTAGTTGTATGTGTGTCATATGATTCTGTGACCACTACAGTGATTATGCATTTGATTATATTATGTCAGACTAACTTTTATTGGATCCAGCAAGCAAAGGAAACTTGTTTTATCTGCCACCATTACCTCTTTGTTTAGGACAGATTCCGGTTTAGAATCTGTTAACCCCACACTTCACGTCCCAGAGGAAAAAAAAATTGTCCCCCTTTAGTATCAGATATCAAGATTCAGATTTCTCATGTATAAAAGAATTTATATGTCTTTTGCAGCATTTTCATTGATGGCAAGTGGCATGGCGAGGTCAAGGCCAATAAGATGAGCGACAGTCAAGGCTACCAGTTCTTCCTGACTGACCTGTCACCAGAGCAGAGCTATGATGTTTCAGTCAAGGTAAGTCACAGTGAGTGGGCTGCTGGTGGGGGTAGACAGGGAAAAGAAGATAGGGGGGGGGGGTGGAATGGTGGAATTTGTAAACACTTTGGTAGTGTTATATTTTAATAGTATATCTGTTTCTTGAAATTGTTCAACTTGCAAGAAAAAGTATTTTCTTTTTATTCAGATGATGAGAGAAGGCACAAAAGTTAGCTCACAGTACTTTTATGCTATTTATAGTTCATGTTGACGTATGATTTCTTTTGAAGAACTGCAGATCAACTTTATCATTGATTATAGAACACACAGAGTTGACTTATTTCTTTCAGTGGATGCATAGGCCTACTGTTCTGATTATTGTTATCACAGTTTCTCTACCAAAGTGCTTGACACTAGTTACTTGTTTTGTTCCCTCAGACCGTTGCTGGTGAGCGTCGCATCGACCCTCAGTCTCAGCACATCTACTGTCTGAGCGAGAGCCCGATGTCCAACATTGTACCAGTTATGGCCCCTGCTGCACCCAAGTCCCCCAAGCTGCGCCTAGAAGGCCTTCACCCTGACGGAATTGACGTTACCTGGCAAGTGCCTCAGCAGTGTGGAGATGCCTACATCTCGGTAAGATGCTCTTTTTGGTTCACACATATTGGATAAACACATATTATACTTTTTAACCAAGTAATGATCATAAAGTTACTGTTGCTGTTTATTGTCACAAGATTAAAAACATTTACCCTCCGGTTCATTTGAAAAGTCGACTTAGTTATTGTCAATAGTTCCCCCAGTTCAATACAATGCAAAGAAATGTGCTTTTTTGTGAAATCTGTTACCCCGTGATCTGTTTTGATTTGTGAATGTGAATGAGTATAATAGGGTTCCATGGGACAATATCAAAACTTTTGTAATCTGCAAACAAATTTGTGACTACACAGCAGCTTATCTCATATGGTCATCTGTATGTTCTAGGGTTACCAAATGCTGAAGAATGGAAAGCTTTACGGCTCCATCATCCCTCCGGATGTGAACAGTTTGCGCATTCGAGATGTGACCTTGGGCGAGAAGATTGAGCTCCAGCTGATAGCCCTGACTGAGCATCCTGTCGGCAAATCTGACAGAAAGTCCACGGATGGGGACAAAGATTCTGGTATTGGGGGATCGTCGCACCCAGAGGACAGAGTGACTGGTTAGTACGCTTTTCTTTCTGTGCATGTTTAGTAATTTTATTCATGTTATATTATTCATTGATGTAAGCTTCCCAGTGCCTTATTGCTTGAAATGAATGCAAATGTTTTACACCCTATGGGTGTAATTAATATAATTTTGAAGGCTGACAACTTAGACTTTCTTTCAAGGCCAACCTAAGCTGGGTTGGATGCTGTAATCTAGCAAAATGACAAACATACTCGATAAGATACATTTCTCCATGAGGGATAGAAATTATGTCCTTTGCATGCAAGTCAAAGACTATATACATGTATATATATAAGACACCTTAGTTGCTGGTTTCCAATTTTTTATAAATTTGAAATACCAGACTTTTTATTTCAATGTGTAGAAGTTGACTGAATAGACACAATTGGAATTTATTTCTCATTTATTTGGTTTTCCTTTACTGTGAGATTGGAACCATTTACAAATAGTGATTTTTAAAGGTGCACTGCTTGTAATTCTTTCCTAGAATAACAAAAGGGCCAGTACAGAATGTGAACAAGGCTATGATGACATCCCTGTATTTTGTATAATTCAGACAGCGTGTACCGTGTCAGATGAACTAACTTAGCTTCACTGTTTCCCCTCTTTACTATAGTATCATATAAACTGACAGTCTCTCCTATTATGTCATCTAGACCTGACTTGACTGTTCACTTTTGTCTGCTGTGTCGAATCAACTGATTAAATTTCATTGCTCTTCTAATATATAATATGAACTTGACACTAGTGTTCGTTTACAACTCCTGTATTAAATTATGAATTGACTCCCACTGACTGTTCACCTGCATGTACAGTACTGTGCCGGGGCTATTCCATGGTAACTGACGGGACATTTGGACTACTTTCTTACGATGATAACACTGTATTTCAGTGTCAATTAATTTACTTTAGCTTTAAGTGATCAGAAAATTTGAAAGACCTATTAAGAATCATATTAAATGTAGTCATTTGAAGAGAGAAAAAGTACTTTATGCAACTTCTGTGACATGTTTTGTTTTGGTAACTGATGGACAGAACAAATACCTGCATTTAATATAATGATTCTTAATATGTCTTTCTAATGTTCTGATCATTTAAAGTTGAAATAAATTAATTGACATTGAATTACAGTGTTATCATTGTAAGAAAGTATAGTCCAAATGCCTCGTCAGTTACCATGGAATAGCCTGTCATTAAAACTGACTTCCCTTCACTGTTCACCTTCAAGCATCACCAGTGTCTCACCGCTCCCCACGAGCCAAACCTCGGTTAATCACATTCACCAAAGAAATATCAAGCAGAGATTGCCCTCAGGCCCTTCAGGGTAACACTTACCTATCATGCAGCTAAAATTTCTCAGTCGCTATTAAATTAACAAACTTTTCAATGTATTTTCTGTTGCATGGCTTTGAATCATAGTGAAGCCACAAAGGCCAGCTTCCTTAGAATGTATTTATATACAATGTATCTACACCTTATTTATTATTCAAGAAAGCCCTTGTATCATGATTTCATCGTTTTGACTAATGCGGTGTTCACACGTACAGGAGTAATGAAGCCGAGTAAGACGAAATGTCTAAGTCCAGCAGGTCGGGGCTACTCTGGATACATTTGGCCGAGAAATCGGCCTCTCTCCCCGAGTGATATTTCATGCTTGCTGTGTGAAATTATTACACGGGAAGCTTGCCGAAATTTTCAAACATGCTTAAAATTTTCGCCGAGCGAAAAATGAGTCGCCGAAAATGAGTCGCCGAGTCAATAACTCGCTCAGGGAAAACTCGGGGAGGACTCTATGAGTGTCAGAAATAGCTCGGCGTCCGAAGTCGCATACGCTGCCGAGTAACAGTGACACGCCGACGAAATCTGAGTGGTAGCCGTGTTAAATTTCATACTCTGCGGGTTAAACTATTGCTTGCCGTGTAAAAATCTTGCACGAAGAGTCTCTAGTTACTCAAGCACGAAGTGCAAAAGTTGACACGACGAGCATGTGCCGGGACACGGCGACCGTCGCGCCCCTACCATATAAACTGACAGCACACTGTCCCTGCCATTATCTACAAATCGGCAATCTACTAACGTGACTATGCCTCCGAAGAAGTCTATGCGGAGGGCTGCTGCTGGTGATTCTCCACCTTCTGCAATTATATTGGAAAAACTCTGAAGAAACTCTGAGGAAGTTCCTGAAGGATACCACATCTTCAACTTACAGTTCAGTCATCTGCTTCTCAAACTGTCCATACAGGGGTCTCCTTATGAGCATGGGTCTAATCCAAAAGGTCCTCCTCCTCCTCTTCCTCCTCTTCTTCTTCTTGCACAAGCACAGCAACAAGGGCACCATATGTATGCATGAAGTACACATCCATCGTCTGTGTCACATGAGACATGTTGAAGGAATGGACAAACATTTTGCCCCCCTCTTTATATATTATAACATTAATTGCACGCCGACTTGCTCGGCGACGGGTCGGCAAGATGGTCAGCATGGTCGGTGAGTTTGTCGGCGTATGAAATTGTACTCGGCCGCTACGTTTCTTGGCTCTGCAAGCGGCCAGGATTCAAACTAATTGCTCGGCACGGCGAGATGCTCGCCGTTCTATATATTATTGCTCGGCGAGCGCCTCCTCGAGTGCTCACCGACACAATAATGTCAACAGTCATGGCCAGATACTCGTTACGATTAAACGCGAATTAGGCATTATCTTATCGGGAATTACTCGTCGACTCTACCCTTGTAGGCCTATGTATGAACACCGCATTACAGTCACATTCTTATTATAGAAAAGAGCAAGAACACATGATGTTTATATTTTGATTAGTTTTTGTGTATTCTTGTTTTGTATTTAGGGTAGATAGTCAGATACACATTATATTATTGCTCTGTCTTTTGTCTTTGTTTTCTAGTCTCCCTCTGCATGCATGCTTGTTGTAGCATGTGTATTGTAATAATGTTCAGCAGTTTCTAAGTGTTATTTTTTTTTTCAATTGTACACAGAAGAAAAACAGTCTACTCATTTCATCTTTAGAAAAAAAAAAGAAAAAAAATTACAACAGCCCAAAAAAAAGCTTTCTTTTTTCCCATATATTATTTTCTTCCATTTCCGCCACTTTTGTGTTTTAAAATTTGACTTGCTTGACCCACATTTCTCATATCTTTATGCACATTTACCATGTGTTATCAAGGATTTTGTAACATGTAGTCTTTCATTTCAAAATGCTTTAATGCTAGAAAAATTCGTGGAGCATCAAATTTGTCAACACACTTTCTCCCAACGAAATGTCTATTTCATCTCAAGTTTTCATTTTGAGAGCAAATGAATGAAAGATTCTTTGCTAGTAAAATTTTTTGATATTGAGGATGGAAGTCAACTTTTTTAGACAGGTTGCTTTCGTACAATTTTCAGCCCTCTGGCTGTCACTTGTGTCAGAAATTGGCTGCTAAAACACTCCAGCATTGAGATTGAGTAACGCCCGTTTTCTCCCACAAAGTGTTTTGGTTTGTTTTGTTGAGGGTTTTTTTTTTTTATAAGGAAGCCTAGGCAGACCTGAGATCGTTGGGTTTGATGTTATGCTCAACAGAATCAGTTCCAACTCTTTGTCCTTAGGAAGCATAGTGGATAACAATCTGTACTCACTCTCTTCCTTAGGGTATACTGAGCAATTTTGATTGTCTTTATGGGTTGGTCGGGGAGGGGGTGCAATTACCAGCTCGGTCTTACTAGGGGATGCCTAAATGTCTGGTGTTTCATCTACTAGCTTACAAGCTGTGACATCTTATAATATGATTTGGCCCCGCGAGACTCTTCTCAATTACAAATATGTTTCTTTCAGAAAAAATAATGTAAAGTATATTCTATTTCGTTAACCAAAAAAGCATCTTGATATTCAAGAGTCAAAAAGTTTTTGACCCAGCGATCCAACGTGTTTAGACTGAGACTACAACACCACGTTGTATTGAAAAGGTTCTTGAGCTGGGCAGTCAAACTTTTGAATTTTGAACTGATAGACACATGTATTATAATAATGAAAACGACAAGACATGTAAAATTTGTCCTGCATGTGATTAGTTCGTCTCTGCTTGCTTCTGTACGTGTATTGTGTATAGCACTGTGTACATGAAGAGTAGTTCCCGCAACTGTGCCGCCTTCGAGTAAGCTCTAACTATGCTTTTAGTAGTTAAAGCTCCTTTCTTTGTGTCTTCATGTAAATTTTTAGGACAGTCCAGTGATATTTCAAGATCTTTAGACTATTCAAATCTGCCCCTTTATTATTTTTTGTTAATTGCCGTAAAATCTGTGACCGTCTGTCTATAGGTATTTTCAAAAGTGGCATACATGTACATGTAATTCGAATCAATAGGCCTACTATTATTATTATTATATTCTTGACCTGGAGCGATTGAATACTGTGTTCAATCAGAACTTGTCACCTTTTTCTGTTTAGAATATGAAAATGATGACATTTTGATATCTGCGCTTCTGTTACAAGTGATATACATAGTTTCATTCTCATTTGGCATATTAAGTATATTATTATTTATTATTTTCTGCTTGTCAGTCTATCTGATTGCACCTGTATTTGTTTATACAGTCATCATAGTATCTTTTGCTTTTGTTGTTGTTTTTTATTTAATTTTGTGTGTGGGGGGGGTGTTTTTAGGAAGGGGTGGGGTATTTATTTGTTATTTCACTGCCCGATACGCGTATGTTAGCACCGCATCACATTTTCGTTTGAGTTGTCGGTTAGTAGGTTAGTTTTATTTGGGTATTCACCAGAGGCGGCTCGTGGGGCTAAAAAGTGGACGTGCACAATTAAGCTATCGCATGCTGAAGATAGTCAAGGGCGTATTAAACGAGACGGTGTATATTTTTAAGATTTGGGTTAGTGAGGGAGGACCTCGTGCTTTTATGTTCATTCTTTTTACTTGTCGCTTTAATTTCTAGTACAAAATTTGTTTGTTAGCTAAACATCAATTTCGTTCATCCTTTATTGGAACTGAACACTTAAGCAATAACTTTCACTACTCCATTACAAAACCATTCAAAGGCACAACTTGTAGAACGGTCACTTTCACCTCCCTCTGGTTCACGGTCACAGAGTCACATAACATAGTGGCAAGACAGACAATGAACCAATCACAATTCACTTGAGCACTCTGCTGGATTGCTCCGGGGCTCCCATAATATTGGCAAAGAATAGCGCACGGTCTGGTCTATTGCGTTTATTTTTAGACTGCATACTGTGGGCTATGTTTCGGCACTATACGGCAGGAGCACATTTGAGATGTGCCGGCTTATTAATATTAATGGGCCGCCAAACTCGCTACGAGTGTTGTCATCGCTTGGGTTATCCCCAAGAGCGATTTAAAGGTCAGGTTACACTGTTCAATATCCTATTATGTTTAGCTAAAGCGCGTGGACTTTGGCATGGCATAGTAGATGTTTTACGGCGCTCTAGACACAGAAATGACAGTTATGGCGCCAATGAGGACCTTGTTTTGATTATAATATTTGGCTAGTGTTTGTTTCTAGCTTCTTTTATTTTATTATTGTGGGTGTTTTACGTTACAGAACATTAAACATTTTGGGGCGCCACTGCACGACCGTGCTCTATGGACGAAGCACCCCTGGTATTCACCTATAAAGCGGGCTACGGGGATTGAAACTCTCGAATGAACTGAGGTTTTTCACAAATTTTAAGAGCTCTCTCGTTGACACCATAATATCAAGAGTCTCACCTTTTTAATAATCAAATTCAATATATTCGATACGTACTGCATAATTGATGGTTGTGCACAATATGAAAGTGTGCGTTTTGTTCTAGTTCTATAATAACTGCTTTGTGATAGTTATTTTGCAGAACTGCACTCGCCTTTAAATTTAGGCCCTATATAAGCCCTTTTTCTCCCACGATTTTTCCCATGGTTGTACGAAGTACTCTGATTTCAAAATTATTGGACTCTTTCTTCTTTTCTTATATCTCCTTATTTATCATTCACTTTAATTGTGGACGGGTGCTTTGCTGTCAAACGGATTAGCCTTATTATTGGTGCTTTTTTGTTTTCTTCATTCGCCCTTCTTTTTCTCTTTGACTGTACAGTTAGGCTATGTAGCTCTCTCCGTCTTCTAAATGACCTGATCTGACCCGGAGGGTGTTCATTTGAAACACTGCTAAAACTTCGTGGGTGGTTGCAGGTGCTCTGGTCCGGTTTACTCCTTCTTTCCTATCAAATATCCATCTTCTTGTCTCTTTTCTTCCTTCTGTTTGTGTTTGTTACTCATGTGTAACGTGTCTAATCTGATCTTGGGTAGTTATATGACTTAATTGTGTCGCACATGCCGTAAAACTGTTACTAAGACGAACTCTACTAAAACGTGTGCTCCCGCTCCTCCCCCAGACGTGTTCACGGGCGAACGTTACGCCGGTTGCAAGCCTGGACCCAAGCTTGTCGTCCACTATACAGGGCTGGTGTGTGCGCCCACCGAGGTCTGGTGTGAGAAGGCCACTGGTCACTCTGCCCTGGTCGTCTGGAAGAAACGTGAGTTGTTGACAACTGTGTGTGTGTGTCTGTGTGTGCGTGCGTGCGTGCGCGCGCGCGCGCGCGCGCGCGCGTGTGTGTGTGTGTGTGTGTGTGTGTGTGTGTGTGTGTGTGTATGTGTGGGTCGGAGTATATATGTTTCTGAGTGTACATTAGGAGGGGTTTTTTTTCGTAAAGTGTTTGCTTATGACGTATGCACATAGGCGTACACAGATAACTCTATGCGTATGCAACTGTATTATGTCTGCGCCTTCTAAATGTTGGTGTGAGACGGTCACCTTTCTTTAGTCATCTTTTTTTTATAATTTTTTTTTAAGTTGTGGGTTGGATGGCCACGTATATGCCGATTTGTGCATGTTGGACAACAAATTATATTGTGGGAATCCGTAATTTACTTTTTTGCTTTTTTCCAATTATTCTTATGAGTTGCAAAGGCGCTTTATAGTTGAGGAGTTTTTGTTTTTGTTTGTTTGTTTGTTTTTTGTTGGGTTTTTGTTTTTTCTTTATTTTTTGTTGGAGGGGGAGGGGGAGTCTGAAAGTGTATTCTAGCGATACCCAAAAAGGGACCTTGCATGGTGTCGTACGCTATCGGAGTATGGGTGGCGTCTTTTCTCTGTTATTTCTGTACCATCTGTTCCGCCCTCTTTTTGTTCTAGTTTATCGACAGAGATCCAGGTAGGAAAAAAAAGTAAGCGTTAAAGACATTTAAACCCACGAATCCCTCGGGGGGGGGGGGGGGGGCGTCGAAATAACAAATCTGTCTCGAATAATAATATTATGGCATCAAATCTAACTAGAACATAAACACAATTGGACCTATAGATCATTATTATTATAGTTCATTTGGGAGGAGAAGCGGCTTTGGAGAAAAAAAAGGAGAAAAAAAAGGGGGGGGCTGCTTTGGGACCCAGAAGGTGAGAAAGGGTAAGCAAACCTGTTCATGACGTCATCTATTCATTTGTCTAGTATGGTAAGAGAACCGTGTTGTTGTATCTAATGGGACTCAATGACGACTCAACTGTCAAGGGTCAGTTGTTGACACCAGCCTTGTAAAAAAGAGGCTCAGCCAGTTGTCACAATGACGTCATAGGTATATTTATAGTGGTCCCCGTTTTTTGGCTTTTTTGCGGGTTGTTATTTTTTTTTTAATTGGGAGGGGGGGGGGTAGAGCATCTCAAAGGGGTAAATGAGTATCAGACCATGATGGACTGCGTCTGTTTCAGACCTGGCATATAACGAAGAAGGAAGAAATCCTTTTACCTGTCTTTGTCTTTCACAAAGCCATGCTTTGTGTAGTATACCACCATTACACCGTGTTATGAATGCATTGAACCTTCACAACTCAAGGGAGTGGGTCCGTGAGAACTATTACAAACCAGGGCTTTTCTTTTCCCCTCATTAAATAGAAATTCTAGAGTTCGAAATTTCTGAACCTGATTGACTAAATCTCTTTTGAAAATGAAATACCATAGTTATTCTTGCTGTACTCAATCGTATTATTGGCCAACATAAAGCCTATTGTCAGTAACAGGGCTACTTGTCTGGACCCCCCCCCCCCCTCAATAGAATTGCGCGGTACTTAACATGTAGCCTACATTCTACACCTCCTTGAAGAATAACGTGCTTATATCACGGTGCCAACCGGTTTATAAGTCGAGTACAGTTGAAAGGCTGGGGAGTCGTATAAGTGAACAATTCACAGGGGCTGCATGCATAATGAATTATTGCCCACGTACTGGGTGTAGCTTACTGCGTGAGACAAACGGTGTGTTCTCACAACTAGTCGGAGCTTAGAAGGTGGACTAGACTGGCCTGGAGAAAGAGAAAAGATCTCAGATAGGATTTATAATATTTTTTGTTTGTTTTTTCTTGTGTGTATATTGGATCTAGATATCTACCAGAAATTCGTACATTCTACGCAGGTAATGCGGGCTGAAGCGAATCATTAATGTATTGACAGTGTGGAAACTGCCAGACCTTATTTTTATTTTAATGTGCATCTTTTATTGAATACATGTTTTGATAATGCGTTTTATGTTTATGGGCAAATACAACTCTTGTCGATTGAAGCTTTTTCTTAAAGGTTTACATGTTTAAGAGATAAAATGCAGTATGGTACTAAGGTATTTTTAGGTACACATGCTTGCTTACATAGCGCGCGTACATGGCTATTTGCAAAAAGGGGGTGGTCAGAGGGAGAGAGAGAGAGAGAGAGAGAGAGAGAGAGAGAGAGAGAGAGAGAGAGAG